TCTCCCCACCAGCAGGTAAAGTTCTTCAAGGGTAGCAATCACGTCTTTCTTATTCTCCAATGAATCTCTAGTGTCCAACACAGTGTCTGGTGTATAATAAGTGCTCAAAAATTACTTGTTGACTGACTGAACAAACATATGTAAAACTAAAAAGAGCCTAAAGACCCACATAACAGTGAAACAGTTAAACATAGTCTGGTGTGCACACCTCATCAACAAGGGTACCTGCATAATGAACATTGGTATACCTAACCCTGAATTGTACCCCACATCTTTAAAATAAAAAAATTTTTTAAATTAAATAAAAAAATAAACTGGTGTATAAAATTAAAGCACCCTAACAACTGATCATGACTTAATCAACCCAGCCACTTTGAAAATGTTTGTTTTCTCTGGATGGAATGTCTTCTCCAATTTACCCATGTAAGAAACTCCTATTTACCTCTGAAAGGTTCAGCTCAGTTTTATTACTCTGTGGAGGTGTTACTAACTTCAGCATGAACACATTATTAAGGAAGGTTTCTGGCAACACATTGGACTTCCTCCCAACCTCCTGGTCTAATCTCATAAAAAGACTGGAATAAATCGATCAACAAAATGATTTTAAATACACAGCTAAAGTTGAAATTAAGAAAGGGAAGTTGCCGGGGTCAGTGGCTCAGCCTGTAATCTCGCGCCTTTGGGAGGCTGAGGTGAGTGGATTGCCTGAGCCCGCAGGTTCGAGACCTGCCTGGGCAACTTGGTGAGACCTCATCTCTACAATAAATCAAAATGAGCTAGGTGTGGTAGCGCACGCCTGTAGTTCCAGCTACTTGGAAGACTGAGGCGGAAGGATCGCCGGAGCCCCAGCAGGTTGAGGCTGCAGTGGCCAGGAGCGGCCACTGCACTCTAGTCTGGGCAACAGAGTGAGACTCCAACTCAAAAAAAAAAAAAAGAAAAGGAAGTCTATATATTCTAGAAGCAAGGAAGGACCCAACTCAAGAGCAGTGAGAATGTGAACTGTTGCCACACAAACCCAGGGTTGTATCAAGCCTGGACAGAACAGTGTGTGCTAAGAGCAGCGCTGAAATGTAATGTAGGCTCAAAGGGGATAGGTTTTTAATGCCCATTTGGGACTAGAGGACTAGGGATTGCACAAGATTGGGAATAAATTTGGCACAGTTGTAGAGAGTTAGTGAACCAAAATAGATTCTAGAAAAATAGTTAGAATGTAGCCCAAAGAGATAGAGATATGGAAAACATTTATAAAAAATAATTGAAGAGACATGGAAGATGAAATAAGAAGGTAATAGGAGCTCCAGAAGAAAAAAAATAGTGATAATAAGGTGTGGATAATATTCAAAGACTAATAGCTGAGAATGTCATGAAAACCACTAATTTTCAGATTGTGAAAGCATGAGTCTGGGAAGGTTAAATAGACATCTATACCAAGACACATTATACGGGACTGTGAAGCAACAAAAATAAACACAATCTTAAAGACAACCCCCCAAAAAACACTTATAAAGGAATGATCAACTAACAGTAGACTCTGACAGCAACAGAGAAGGCCAGAGGAGGCAGCTGACAGTGCTAAAAGAAAACAGCCCTCAAATAAGAATTCTGTTCCCTGTTGCATTTTCATTAAAGAATAAGGGCAAGATGAAGACATTTTTAAAAATGAAGACTGAACTAACCACTCAGAGGGCCTCACTAAAAGGACTACTAAAGGGCATACTTCAGGAAATTGACTCCCAAAGGAAGTGGTGAGATCTATGAGACAGTGATGGACAAACAACTGGTAAACATGGGAGAATCAGAATAAGTGTGGGCTGTCTAAAATGTCAACAACAACAGCAAATGCGGGTACCATCCAAACATGACAGAATTGAAACACAAGTCAATGACAGCATGTAAGTGGATGGTGCTTGCTTTATTTAGGGGAGTAAAAATATTAACTTCAGACTTTAGAGAGAATTTTGAGAGAAACCACTATAAAGGTAGGAATAAAATATTTCACTTTTAAAACAGTAGAAGAGGAAAAAAGAGAGAGAAAGAAAATCCAGTCAGTATTAGACAAGAAAAATGCAGGAAAAAAAAAAAAAAAAAGGAAAGAGCAGAAGAATAACAGAAGCACACAATAAATGGAAGGGTAAAAAACCCAAACATATCAATCACAGTAAAAGAAAACAGACTAAACTTGACAGTTAAAAAAGCAAAGATTTTCAATTTGTAATTTAAAAAATATAGATGTATGCTACTTTACAAGAAATACCTAGAACATCACAATAAAAGAGTAAAAGTAAAATGTTGGAAAAATATACCTGACAATTACTATTTAAAAGAAAATTACTATGAGCATTTTAATATCAGATAAGACAGACCACAAAAAGCATTCATGGGGATAAAAGGGCTATGATATAATGGTAAAAGGAACAGTTGACCAGGAAGATACAGCAAATGTGTACTTCCTGATATGTGCACCAGGATACATGTATACAATACATAATTCACAATACAAGCACTTGGGTGTCCTCTCTGCCATGGTTTCGTGTGTCCTATTCCATTGGGAATTCTGGGTGAATGTGAAAAGGGAATTCAGAAATTCCTGGACCCCTCTCTAGGACAACTGATAACAACACCACAGTCCTGGCCATCCTCAGTACACTCAGTCTATGCACCCATATTCTTCATAGATGTCATCATTCTGGTGAGCCACTCTAGCATGGGACTATTTGTCATTTATTTCTGCATTTTTAGCACTTACCACCATGTCTAGTAGAGAAAGGCACTCAATAAATGTTAGCTGAATGACATTTTATGCCTCAATTAAAATTATAAATTTGAAAACTATGAAACCAATATGAAAAATGTCTATAATATGCATTTCTATTTTTAAAAACACAGTATAAAGCTGTAGATGTACTCTGTTAAAAATATATAAAAATTACACATGTATGTGGATGCAAAATAGAAGAGAATGTGAAAACAATGAAAATAATAAATTTTTTTAGGTAAGGTGCATGGTGACTTTTAAAAAATATTTTATCATTTCTCTTAAATTATTTTTTGTATATTTTGAAAAGAAAAAGAAATGGCTATATAAACTTTAGCTATCCAAGAAAGTAGTTCAGTAGGCTGAGGTGAGTGGATTGCCTGAGCAACTTGGCAAGACCTCATCTCTACAATAAATAAAAAATCAGCCGGGCGTGGTAGCGCGCACCTGTAGTTCCAGCTATTTGGAAGGCTGAGGCGGAAGGATCACCGGAGCCCAGCAGGTCGAGGCTGCGGTGGCCGGGAGCGGCCACTTCACTCCAGTCTGGGTGACAGAGTGAGAATCCAACTCAAAAAAAAAAAAATTTCACCATGTATGCGAGGACAATAGAGCAGTTTTCTGAACCACAGAAATATTTACTGCTAGAGCCAAACTGTACTTTTCACTGTAAAAGCCATGGTGTTAGCGCACTGCGATTCTCTCTGGACATACAGGCACTGTCAAGGAAAGTAGAGTGCTGAGGAGAATGGATCCAGCAGCTCTAACTTCAGCCGTTCTCCTTCCCATTTTCTAATGCCTCTCCTTTCTAGGAATCCCCTAAGGTGTCCACCAATTACCCAGAGTTTTACAGGACAATTTTTCCATTAGTTTCTATCCCACTTCCCCTGAGAAAAGGTTCTCTGTATTACCTGGACAGAAAACCAGGTAAAGTACAGAGGGTATTCCTTACCCAGATTTTGATCTACATATACCATTTCCAACTGAAAGGAACCAGGGATCCTCAGAAATATGGCTGATGCTGCGTCTCAGATGAGAGATGTACCAGATGAACCTGAAGCATTTGTCACATGAGAAAGCAAGAAAGCTATCAAAGACTATCAGAGTCCTGTCAACAGGACTCTGGAGTCAACATGAGAAGGCTCTTACTGACCAAGATAAAACAAACTGAATATCAATAAGAATAATAATTGTAATGAGTTGACATATCAAGTATGTTTCAATTTATGAGTTAAAAATAATTATTAAGAAAAAATAATTTTAAAAAACACTACTTGTTCACTTTTGAAGGATGCTAGGAAACCAGTTCATGATTTGGGGAAGTGTTAGTGAAGGGAAAGAATCAAAGGATACTCTGTCTTTTTTATACTAACTATACCTCATTGTTACCAAATAGTTGGAGAGGGGACACTTTCATTACAGAAATATTCCAACTAATAAAAGAAGAAGAAATGATAGACATAGAATATCACCATTAAATACAGTCTCTAGTGAATTAATGAATCTTAGATCAACACTGGTAGCTAAGATCACAAATAGAGCGACAGTCAGTCAATATATTTGTCACCACCTATGAAGTATTCTTGACAAAGAAAAATTGAGTATGGGTCTGTATGTCTATCAATTTAGGTCAAGGAACTTAAGGAGAGAGACAGAAAAACATGTTAAATGGCACGGTAGGTTACAATTATGCAAATCTAGGTTGTAAGAAAGTCCTTATAACAAACAATCCAGATTATTTCTAAAATTAAGAACTGAAGAGGAAGCCAGTAACTAAAAAAAAAAAAATTGTGACTAATCAACAATTTCAATGTACAAACCTGATTTAAATAAATTATAAAAGACAACATGATACAAACAATTCAGTTGGAACCTTGACTGGATATATATTCATATTATTTATAGTTCTATTAGATGCTAACACAACATTTTCCTTTTGTTTTTCAAAAGAGTTCTTATCTTTTAGAGAGTCAAAGGGAAGTATGATGTGTGGTTTTCGTTTCAGAAAGACCTGGGGTTAAGGAAAATGAGCAGGGGTACAGGTGAAATGATTGGCTGGGATCTGATCACTGTTGAAGCTAGTAGTGGGTATATGAATGGATTTATTCCATTATTCTCTTTACTTTTGTATATGCTTGAAATTTTCAACAATAAAAGTCTAAAACATTAATAAAAAATAAATGAAGCTGTTCCTTATTCTCACGGTTGACGTTTGAGGGGGAAAATGTCAAGGAAACAATACTCTTACCTTTTCAATAACTGAATAAAAATTCTTCTTGGTAATCGGCATACAAAGGTGTCAAGGACAATCTTTAGGTAATTAAAAGACACGTAGCCACCTTTAGAGGGATCCCCTGCACTGAGGGCCTTTTCAATCTTTTCATAAGACTTTGAAAACTGTAATAAATTAAAATTAGAGTGTGACATTCATAGAAATCAACTTCATGGAGTTATTCAACCATTTTAATTTTACCAAAAACCTCTTCACATTTTCTTCTCCAAAAACTGATCAAAAAGGTTACGATGGCATATACTGAACTTCAAATGTTTAATTGATGAGCTCACTACAAAACAGCATTCCCAGTCACAGCTCCTCAATTGACAAGGCAGACAAGTTTCTCAGGGAAAAACAGCAGATATAAGAGCTCCACCTCAAATTTCAGAGCTAAAAATACTTGGTGAATCTGCCAGTTTGATACATCTTTCTTAATATACTTTCAAGCCATTCCCCACTGTGAGCCCACACTATGCTTCTCCTGATTAAGTCAGGCCAATCAAACAAAAAAGCTGGTAACATTTTATTAAAAATAGAAGTAGCTTTTTCTGTAAGGAAAACTATTAATATAAGGACTGGGTGAATGGGCTTTGCTTATGAAAGTTCTAAAATGCAGTAATGTAAATTAACCACTGATTCTTATAATGTAGATTAACCACTGATTCTTATATGACTCATAAAAATACTGTGAAGATTGATTTTACTTCCAAAGGTTTTCCTGCTGTTTTTTTATTGAGTAATAACAATATTCTCCAATATTTTCAACCATCTCACTTTGTTTGAATTCAATTTTTTCCTGCCAACTGGGATAAGAAGATAAACAAAATAACTACCAACTTGGTGTAAAAGGTGACTTTCTTTAAAAAGCTGCTGGAACAAGGAAATATATGTACAAGAGTCTTGATCTAGTAAAGGAATAAGAAATAGATTCATTAAATTTTCCTTAGTATGCCTAGGAATATTGGAAATATAAAAGGGGAAAATCTTGAAAAATATTTAGAGACCTAAGTTTCTTAGAAAGGACCTAAGCTTCTTAGAAAGTTGCATAAAGCCAACCCAAAATGCAGCTAAATTTGCTCATTTCTCTTTCAGGGAGGTGGGTTGCATTTGAATACACTGCCTGTGGGAAGACTCTTGCAAAGATAAACAAGAGACTGGATAGAGTAGGGACTCAGTGTATTTACTGGATTAATAAAACCCATTTTTAATAGCTTCATGACATTTGCTCTCTAATACTTTTTTTCACTAGAGTGTTTCTGACATGATCAAGAGTTTTTAGAAAAAGAGTAAGGAGTGAAACAGAAAATAATGTCTTTGTGACATATATAATTTTTTAGAAATTTTCATTGTTACTGTTTATAAAGAAAGTACAAGACTTTGAAAAAATGTAAGCAATTCAGTAAAGTATAAAAAAGGAAAATAAAAATATCTGGAAGTCTCACCAACCACAGTTTTGTATATAGTATTCCAAAAACTCTAAACTTGGGTGTATAAACATACATTACAATTTTACAAAAATGGAATCATATTGCACTTTCAGGTTTGACAAATGCTTTCTTCACTTAACATGTCATGACGTTTTTTCCATTAGTGCTAGTACACATCTACATTATTCTTTTAAATAATATTAATCATATTATTGATGGACAGGCCAAAGGTACACCCATTTTCCATCTCTACACATTTAGTTTTTATAAATATTTTCCTGATTCAAAATCTCAATGAGGTCTTTGCTGTTATTCTTTCTCATAACACCCTGGTCTTTTCTGTCATACCACTAAAAAAAAACTGTATTTATGAATGTGTTTATTTAACAACTCTCTCTCTCTCTCTGATAGAAGTTCTTGTGACAGCAGAGATTGTATCTGTTTTATTTACTAGTAATTTTCTAGAATAAAGCACAATATAGGTATGCAGTAGGCACGCAATAAATATTTGTTAAAAATGGATATGTTTTTATAAAAAATGTTCTAAACAAAAGCTGTAAAATATAAAAAGTTGTTCAATGCATAGCAAAAAGGGACATGTACCTTAAAGTCATAACTGAGATACCATTTTGTCTGCTTCGGACTGGCAGAAATGTAAAAGCAGTTACCAAGTATTGGGGGCATGTGGAAGCACAGGAGCTCTCACATGTGTGTGGTGGGAGTGTAAACTAATACAGTGGAAAACCATAGGATACCACCGTTAAACCCTAGGAACATGTTGTCTATAACCTAGCACACAATTCTTCTCCTAGGTGTGATTCCCAGAGAAGCCCTGGGATCTGTACACCAGAAGTTACGTATGCACCCATTTATGGTGGCACTGTTGGAACTAGCACAAAACAGGAAACAATCCAAGTGTCCATCCATAGGAGAACATATAACATGTAATATTTAGATAATGGAAACTACAGCAGTACAAATGATAACAGCTATATCCATAATAGGAGTGAACCTCGTCCTAAGCACAAACGATATGAAAATAAATGACTTTGCAACTAAGCAAAGATATTATGAAAGAAAGAAAAAAGAAAGAAAGACAGACAGACATCAGGCAAAAGACAAAGAATTCAGTTTGTAGGAAAACATTAAAAAATAGAAACACATCCATGGTAAAAAAATGTTATATGCCATGCAAAGGAACTAAATAAGAAAATTAATTAAAAGAAAAACCTGAAAATAGTAAAACAATGAGAGATGAGAAGGGATATTTCAAAGCTAAGCAAATATAAAACAAAAATAGCACCATTATGGAAACTAGTAAGTTAGAAACAGGGGAACTAGGAGCTGAGGATGAGATTTAAATCATTAAAGGGGTGGCTTGGAAGAATCTCAATGAAGGAAGAGAACAAGAACAAAAATATCAAATCTATTTGAAAGATGACAGCTACTAAGGATAGACAAAGATGACCCAATGTACAGTCAACTAGGAAAATCACTGATGGAAAGAACCAGGGAAAGAGGAAGGGACACAGAGGGAGGGGGAGATAATTTTACTAATATGACACGGGACATTTTCCTGAAATGACAAACTGATTCTGTACATGAAAAAACACACTGTGTTTCAGAAAATTTTGTCAAAATTCTTCATGCAAGATATAATTTGGCTTTGCTTTGTTAATTTCAAGGATCAAGAAAAAAATACATTAGGCATTCAGGTCAAAAAAGAAATCACCTACAAGGGAAAAAACCTGGTTGACCTCAGGTTTCTTCACAGTAATGTCCAATGCTGGAAGACAATAGAAACAATATTTACAGTATTACAAGGAAAAGAAAGTAGTATGATGAAAGAATTATGCCCAGCCAAATTATTGTTCAAGAATAAAAGCAGGCTGGGTGCAGTGGCTCATGCCTGTAATCCCAGCACTTTGGGAAGCGGAGGTGAGAGGACTGCCTGAGTCCAGGGGTTCGAGACCAGACTTGGCAACTTGGTGAGACCTCGTCTCTACAATTCATCAAAGAAATTAGCCAGGTATGGTGGCAGGTGCCTGTGGTTCCAGCTATTTGGAAGGTTGAGGTAGAAGGATTGCCTGAGCCCAGCAGGTAGAGGCTATGGTGGCTGTGATCGTACCTTGGCACTCCAACCTGAGTGACAGAGTGAGACTGACTCCAAAAAAAAAAAAAAAAAAAAGAATAAAAACAAAAAGCATATAGTCACAAACAGGAACAAAACAAAGGGAATAAAGCACCCAAGAGCCTTTCTTAAGGAAATTACTTGACAATGAAATCCAGTCAAGCACAAAATAAATCAAAATAAAGAACTCTGAGAGGGATAAACTGTGGTAAGCACTGTGCTATCGTGAAGCGGATTAAATTCATGTAAATATAAAACAAAGTCAAACAAGGGGAATTATGGGAACAGAACAGAATATCAATATTATAAACTTGACTAAGGACAGACTATAAACAGAAAAATTGTGAGGTGGTTGGGAGGGGTAGGAAGAAACACATAAGTACCAGTCACCAAGTTTCATAGCAGGAAGCCAGCCCAGGCTGTCTGAAATGGAAACATCATTCAAAGACATCATAATTTCTCCAGCTCTTAATGGCTTTTTAAGTCTCATTTCTTGTTTTAAGGTCCCTTTGGGGGCCTAATATGTCTTACAGGAAAGAAATATTCATCCAAAGTTCAGCAGTCTCCGGTTTCCCTTGAGGGACAGTATTGTGGGGTTAAGAGCAAGGATGATAAAGCCTCACTGCTGTGACTTGTTTAAATTTGGCCTCTGGACTTCCTAGAGTCATTTAACCTCTTCATGCCTCAGTTTGTTTAATTCAAGAAAGGGATGAAAGCAGTGCCTAGCTCATGGAGTTGCTGTGAAGAACAGAATACCTAGGAGGCACTTAGAACATGGTCTGGCACATAGGAAGCCCCATAAAAGGATTAATTATGATGTGATGATGACATTTCCTTTTCTTCAGGAAAATTCAAAGAAATTTAAATTAGATATGTTTTATTTTTAAATAAGGAGCATGATCCTCTTCTTATAAAATTATTTCTATCTATGTATCCACCCACCCACCCACCCATGCAACCATCCTTCTATATATGAATAAAGAAAGGTC